GTGTCTGGAGTAGCAGGCGGCCAGCCAGCTCCTGCTGGTGGTGTCTGGAGTAGCAGGCGGCCAGGCAGCTCCTGCTGCTGGTGTCTGGAGTAGCAGGCGGCCAGCCAGCTCCTGCTGCTGGTGTCTGGAGTAGCAGGCGGCCAGCCAGCTTCTGCTGCTGGTGTCTGGAGTAGCAGGCGGCCAGGCAGCTCCTGCTGGAGGTGTCTGGAGTAGCAGGCGGCCAGGCAGCTCCTGCTGGAGGTGTCTGGAGTAGCAGGCGGCCAGCCAGCTCCTCCTGGTGGTGTCTGGAGTAGCAGGCGGCCAGGCAGCTCCTGCTGGTGGTGTCTGGAGTAGCAGGCGGCCAGCCAGCTCCTGCTGGTGGCGTCTGGAGTAGCAGGCGGCCAGGCAGCTCCTGCTGGAGGTGTCTGGAGTAGCAGGCGGCCAGGCAGCTCCTGCTGGAGGTGTCTGGAGTAGCAGGCGGCCAGCCAGCTCCTGCTGGTGGTGTCTGGAGTAGCAGGCGGCCAGGCAGCTCCTGCTGGAGGTGTCTGGAGTAGCAGGCGGCCAGCCAGCTCCTCCTGGTGGTGTCTGGAGTAGCAGGCGGCCAGCCAGCTCCTCCTGGTGGTGTCTGGAGTAGCAGGCGGCCAGCCAGCTCCTCCTGGTGGTGTCTGGAGTAGCAGGCGGCCAGGCAGCTCCTGCTGGAGGTGTCTGGAGTAGCAGGCGGCCAGCCAGCTCCTCCTGGTGGTGTCAGGAGTAGCAGGCGGCCAGCCAGCTCCTCCTGGTGGTGTCTGGAGTAGCAGGCAGCCAGCCAGCTCCTGCTGGAGGTGTCTGGAGTAGCAGGCGGCCAGCCAGCTTCTCCTGGTGGTGTCTGGAGTAGCAGGCGGCCAGCCAGCTCCTCCTGGTGGTGTCTGGAGTAGCAGGCGGCCAGCCAGCTCCTCCTGGTGGTGTCTGGAGTAGCAGGCGGCCAGGCAGCTCCTGCTGCTGGTGTCTGGAGTAGCAGGCGGCCAGCCAGCTCCTGCTGGTGGTGTCTGGAGTAGCAGGCGGCCAGGCAGCTCCTGCTGGTGGTGTCTGGAGTAGCAGGCGGCCAGCCAGCTCCTGCTGGTGGTGTCTGGAGTAGCAGGCGGCCAGCCAGCTCCTGCTGGTGGTGTCTGGAGTAGCAGGCGGCCAGGCAGCTCCTGCTGGTGGTGTCTGGAGTAGCAGGCGGCCAGCCAGCTCCTGCTGGTGGTGTCTGGAGTAGCAGGCGGCCAGGCAGCTCCTGCTGCTGGTGTCTGGAGTAGCAGGCGGCCAGGCAGCTCCTGCTGCTGGTGTCTGGAGTAGCAGGCGGCCAGCCAGCTCCTGCTGCTGGTGTCTGGAGTAGCAGGCGGCCAGCCAGCTCCTGCTGGTGGTGTCTGGAGTAGCAGGCGGCCAGCCAGCTCCTGCTGCTGGTGTCTGGAGTAGCAGGCGGCCAGGCAGCTCCTGCTGGTGGTGTCTGGAGTAGCAGGCGGCCAGGCAGCTCCTGCTTGTGGTGTCTGGAGTAGCAGGCGGCCAGCCAGCTCCTCCTGGTGGTGTCAGGAGTAGCAGGCGGCCAGGCAGCTCCTGCTGGAGGTGTCTGGAGTAGCAGGCGGCCAGGCAGCTCCTGCTGGTGGTGTCTGGAGTAGCAGGCGGCCAGCCAGCTCCTGCTGGTGGTGTCTGGAGTAGCAGGCGGCCAGGCAGCTCCTGCTGGAGGTGTCTGGAGTAGCAGGCGGCCAGCCAGCTCCTCCTGGAGGTGTCTGGAGTAGCAGGCGGCCAGGCAGCTCCTGCTGGTGGTGTCTGGAGTAGCAGGCGGCCAGGCAGCTCCTGCTGGTGGTGTCTGGAGTAGCAGGCGGCCAGGCAGCTCCTGCTGGAGGTGTCTGGAGTAGCAGGCGGCCAGCCAGTTGATGGTGTGGCAGCTCACCGCTTCGCCGTAATAATAGTGTACCGCCTCAGAATCGTCCACAAACCACTCTTAATTGAGTAAATCAACTTTACAGTAAGCGTGAGTGTGTGTGTGATGGGAGTGCGGGCCACGGGCGGGCCACGGGCGCGTACTGGGCCAACATCAATTTTGTTTAATGACTTAGTTTGTGGCGCTGCCTTCAGGAGACCTCAATTGCCTGTGTGAGTGAGTGTTGGTGCTGGTGTGGGAGGTCTCTCCAACACCACCTTTGGTGCTGGTGTGGGAGGTCTCTCCAACACCACCTTTGGTGCTGGTGTGGGAGGTCTCTCCAACACCACCTTTGGTGCAGTCGCACATGACAATTTTTTTTTTTGCCATGACAATCATTCTTGGAGTCCCAAGAACTGCCAAAACGTCTAATCTACGAGAGGAGTTGTCCCTTCCCAGTGTTAAAGCAGAATTAAGGAGCTGAATGCTAAGCTTGCAATTAAGATAGCCAGAGATCCCCATTACCATGATATTGCTAAGAAAAAACTGAGTTCTGTGCTGTTAACAAGAGGAAACAGGAGAAGCAAAAATGTCATCACAGATCAGTCTGCTACCTGGAAGAGCTTCACCTGCTTGAGCAAGCCCGTGAGCTCCTGCCTGTAGAGAGGTTACCTCCCTGGGAGGATGACTCATGCAGGATCATCATCAATGAAATGACAATGAAAAAATCCAACAAGATACCACAAGAAATGAGGCACATTTATATGGAGGAAATCTATAAAGAAGCCGGAAATGAGTTAGATTAATTCTATACTGACGGGTCATCTAACCCTGTCAATGGCAGGGCTGGTGCAGCATACACTGTAATTAGGAACAATGCCTTACAACGTGGAAATGAAGAAAAAGCACGTATTGAGAACTATGCCTCTTCAACACAAGCAGAGCTAACTGCCATTGTTATGGCGTTAAGATTCCTTAAACGCGGCACCAATGGTGCAGAGATCTGCACTCACTCTAAAACAGTGCTACAAAGCCTTACTAAAATTCTTGCAGAAAATCTTGTGATAGTCGCTGAGATCAAGAGAGCTGTGAGAGTACTAACCAATCAAGGAAGAGTCGTCAAGTTTCTGTGAATCCACAGAAATCCCACGGGAGCCGGTCGGCCGAGCGGACAGCACACTGGACTTGTGATCATGTGGTCCCGGGTTCGATCCCAGGCGCCGGAGAGAAACAATGGGCAGAGTTTCTTTCACCCTATGCCCCTGTTACCTAGCAGTAAAATAGGTACCTGGGTGTTAGTCAGCTGTCACGGGCTGCTTCCTGGGGGTGGAGGCCTGGTCGAGGACCGGGCCACGGGGACACTAAAGCCCCGAAATCATCTCAAGATAACCATCCCGTCCCTTGTTGGAATCTGTGGAAATGAACGAGCAGAACATCATGGTAGACAGGGGTAGACAGGGGTAGAACATCATGGTAGACAGGGGTAGAACATCATGGTAGACAGGGGTAGAACATCATGGTAGACAGGGGTAGAACATCATGGTAGACAGGGGTAGAACATCATGGTAGACAGGGGTAGACAGGGGTAGAACATCATGGTAGACAGGGGTAGAACATCATGGTAGACAGGGGTAGAACATCATGGTAGACAGGGGTAGAACATCATGGTAGACGGGTAGACAGGGGTAGAACATTATGGTAGACAGGGGTAGAACATCATGGTAGACAGGGGTAGAACATTATGGTAGACAGGGGTAGACAGGGGTAGAACATCATGGTAGACAGGGGTAGAACATCATGGTAGACAGGGGTAGAACATTATGGTAGACAGGGGTAGACAGGGGTAGAACATCATGGTAGACAGGGGTAGACAGGGGTAGAACATCATGGTAGACAGGGGTAGAACATTATGGTAGACAGGGGTAGACAGGGGTAGAACATTATGGTAGACAGGGGTAGAACATCATGGTAGACAGGGGTAGACAGGGGTAGAACATCACGGTAGACAGGGGTAGAACATCATGGTAGACAGGGGTAGACAGGGGTAGAACATCATGGTAGACAGGGGTAGAACATCATGGTAGACAGGGGTAGAACATCATGGTAGACAGGGGTAGAACATCATGGTAGACAGGGGTAGACATTAATAAACAGGGGGGGGGGGGGTTGGCGGGTGGATGGAATGGACTTTGGGTCATTGTTTATAAGGACGGGCTGCTGGAGCATACAGTAAACACGTGAAACACCTAAGCTTACAGTTGTTGTATAGAGTGCGAGTGTATTCACGTGTGTAGGTGTAGTGTTGTCAGTATCTTCTTGAGATGATTTCGGGGCTTTAGTGTCCCCGCGGCCCGGTCCTCGACCAGGCCTCCACCCCCAATAAGCAGCCCGTGACAGCTGACTAACACCCAGGTACCTATTTTACTGCTAGGTAACAGGGGCATAGGGTGAAAGAAACTCTGCCCATTGTTTCTCGCCGGCGCCTGGGATCGAACCCAGGACCACAGGATCACAAATCCAGCGTGCTGTCCGCTCGGCCGACCGGCTCCCTGTAGTGTACAGTAGTGTACAGGCTGTGTGTACAGGCTGTGTGTACAGGCTGTGTGTACTCCCTCTCTCACTGGTCCACGACTGATGACGCGTCCTCTCCGTTAAGCGCACCTCAACACGCGCTTAAGACGCGCTTAAGCGCACCTGAAGACGGCATACAGGTGTGTGGCGGGCGGAGGTGTGTGTGTGTGCCAGGTCAGTACAGGTGCTCAGGCTGCTGAGGTCAGCACAGGTGCTGTGCACGTGTGGGGTGACCCGGGATGGTGACGGCTGTACACTTTATGACCCCCAACACCCCCCTCCCCTCCAACACCCCCCTCCCCCTCCCCTCCAACACCCCCCTCCCCCTCCCCTCCAACACCCCCCTCCCCCTCCCCTCCAACACCCCCCTCCCCCTCCCCTCCAACACCCCTCTCCCCCACCCCTCCAACACTCCCCCACCCCTCCTACACCCCCCTCCCCCACCCCTCCAACACCCCCTTCCCCCACCCCTCCAACACCCTCCCCCCCCCCATCTTAACAACTATCATCTTGCCGCTGCTCTCATTTTAAACTGTATTGATATTTAACTGTTCATTTGTTCTTCCCGCAGGTGAGTGTAATGGCGGCAGATGGTGGTGCAGCGGTAAGGGAGGTGAGTGTCTTGGTGTACACAGCTCTATATTACCCCTACACCCCAGGCGGGAGGTGTACATAGTACATAACTAAGTACATAATAATGTACATAGTACGTCCTCCCAACGACTATAAGAAATATTGCCGGAACAACCGTGGACATCTTCAAGAGAAAACTGGAATGTTTTCTAAGAGAAGTTCCAGATCAGCTGGAACTGTGGTGGGTATGTGGGCCTGCGGGCCGCTCCAAGCAACAGCCTGGTGGACCAAACTCTCACAAGTCAAGCCTGGCCTCGGGCCGGGCTTGGGGAGTAGAACAACTCCCAGAACCCCATCAACCAGGTATATGTGGGCCTGCGGGCCGCTCCAAGCAACAGCCTGGTGGACCAAACTCTCACAAGTCGAGCCTGGCCTCGGGCCGGGCTTGGGGAGTAGAACAACTCCCAGAACCCCATCAACCAGGTATCAAGCAACAGCCTGGTGGACCAAACTCTCACAAGTCAAGCCTGGCCTCGGGCCGGGCTTGGGGAGTAGAACAACTCCCAGAACCCCACCAAGCAAGATACCTGCCGGGGTGAGATAATGCAGAGTTTTGCAATTACTTTATTCACTTGTTTTCTTGAGGATATACCCTACAGTGCACGCAAAGTTTGCAAGTGCACGCTGCATCTACTAGGACAGGTGTATGTAGTGTTTTTAAACACGTGTACACCTATACCTCAGGTCCTGATATATATAGTGGTTAGTACATTGCGTTGTGCTATACCGAACAGATATAGCGTCGTGAACACGTATACCACAGATATAGCGTCGTGAACACGTATACCACAGATATAGCGTCGTGAACACCTATACCACAGAGCTATAGCGTCGTGAACACCTATACCACAGAGCCATAGCGTCGTGAACACCTATACCACAGAGCCATAGCGTCGTGAACACCTATACCACAGAGCCATAGCGTCGTGAACACCTATACCACAGAGCCATAGCGTCGTGAACACCTATACCACAGAGCCATAGCGTCGTGAACACCTACACCACAGAGCCATAGCGTCGTGAACACCTATACCACAGAGCCATAGCGTCGTGAACATCTATACCACAGAGCCATAGCGTCGTGAACACCTATACCACAGAGCCATAGCGTCGTGAACACCTATACCACAGAGCCATAGCGTCGTGAACATGTATACCACAGAGCCATAGCGTCGTGAACACCTATACCACAGAGCCATAGCGTCGTGAACACCTATACCACAGAGCCATAGCGTCGTGAACACCTATACCACAGAGCCATAGCGTCGTGAACACCTATACCACAGAGGCATAGCGTCGTGAACACCTATACCACAGAGGCATAGCGTCGTGAACACCTATACCACAGAGCCATAGCGTCGTGAACACCTATACCACAGAGCCATAGCGTCGTGAACACCTATACCACAGAGCCATAGCGTCGTGAACACCTATACCACAGAGCCATAGCGTCGTGAACACCTATACCACAGAGCCATAGCGTCGTGAACACCTATACCACAGAGCCATAGCGTCGTGAACACCTATACCACAGAGCCATAGCGTCGTGAACACCTATACCACAGAGCCATAGCGTCGTGAACACCAATACCACAGAGCCATAGCGTCGTGAACACCTATACCACAGAGCCATAGCGTCGTGAACACCTATACCACAGAGCCATAGCGTCGTGAACACCTATACCACAGAGCCATAGCGTCGTGAACACCTATACCACAGAGCCATAGCGTCGTGAACACCTATACCACAGAGGCATAGCGTCGTGAACACCTATACCACAGAGCCATAGCGTCGTGAACACCTATACCACAGAGCCATAGCGTCGTGAACACCTATACCACAGAGCCATAGCGTCGTGAACACCTATACCACAGAGCCATAGCGTCGTGAACACCTATACCACAGAGCCATAGCGTCGTGAACACCTATACCACAGAGCCATAGCGTCGTGAACACGTATACCACAGAGCCATAGCGTCGTGAACACCTATACCACAGAGCCATAGCGTCGTGAACACGTATACCACAGAGCCATAGCGTCGTGAACACCTATACCACAGAGCCATAGCGTCGTGAACACCTATACCACAGAGCCATAGTGTCGTGAACACCTATACCACAGAGCCATAGCGTCGTGAACACCTATACCACAGAGCCATAGCGTCGTGAACACCTATACCACAGAGCCATAGCGTCGTGAACACCTATACCACAGAGCCATAGCGTCGTGAACACCTATACCACAGAGCCATAGCGTCGTGAACATGTATACCACAGAGCCATAGCGTCGTGAACACGTATACCACAGAGCCATAGCGTCGTGAACACGTATACCACAGAGCCATAGCGTCGTGAACACCTGTACCACAGATATAGCGTCGTGAACACCTGTACCACAGATATAGCGTCGTGAACACCTGTACCACAGATATAGCGTCGTGAACACCTGTACCACAGATATAGCGTCGTGAACACCTATACCACAGAGCCATAGCGTCGTGAACACCTATACCACAGATATAGCGTCGTGAACACCTGTACCACAGATATAGCGTCGTGAACACCTGTACCACAGATATAGCGTCGTGAACACCTGTACCACAGATATAGCGTCGTGAACACCTATACCACAGGAACATAGCGTCGTGAACACCTGTACCACAGATATAGCGTCGTGAACACCTGTACCACAGATATAGCGTCGTGAACACCTATACCACAGGAACATAGCGTCGTGAACACCTATACCACAGAGCCATAGCGTCGTGAACATATACACAGCTGTGAGGAAGCATTAGTTAACAACAAAGGACTCTACACCTGCACCACGCCAGGAAGTAGTCATATGAGGTGTAGCAGATGTTTGACGCTGACTCTTCTCCCACCAACACCTGCGCTCACAACACCTGCACTCGACAAAGCGTGATCACGCAAGCATTAAAATTTGCCAACTTTCTCCTTGTAACTGTTTTTCTCTCTCAAGTTGGTGAAAACACGTCAAGTTCTCGTATGATTGTTATGGTTCCTTGGCGTCTGCGACGTGGAGGTCCTTCCGCTCCTCTCTGTACTTGTTAGCCGCGTACTAGGGGGTGTAGGACCCCCTGTTGGGGGGTCAGGTGAAGGGGGCGGGGTGTAGGACCCCCTGTTGGGGGGTCAGGTGAAGGGGGCGGGGTGTAGGACCCCCTGTTGGGGGGTCAAGTGAGGGGGGGCGGGGTGTAGGACCCCCTGTTGGGGGGTCAAGTGAGGGGGGCGGGGTGTAGGACCCCTGTTGGGGGTCAAGTGAGAGGGGCGGGGTGTAGGACCTCTGTTGGGGGGTCAAGTGAGGGGGGCGGGGTGTAGGACCCCTGTTGGGGGTCAGGTGAAGGGGGCGGGGTGTAGGACCCCTGTTGGGGGTCAAGTAAAGGGGGCGGGGTGTAGGACCCCTGTTGGGGGGTCAAGTGAGAGGGGCGGGGTGTAGGACCCCCTGTTGGGGGGTCAAGTGAAGGGGGCGGGGTGTAGGACCCCAGTTGGGGGGTCAAGTGAGGGGGCCGGGGTGTAGGACCCCTGTTGGGGGTCAAGTGAAGGGGGCGGGGTGTAGGACCCCTGTTGGGGGTCAAGTGAGGGGGGCGGGGTGTAGGACCCCTGTTGGGGGTCAAGTGAAGGGGGCGGGGTGTAGGACCCCTGTTGGGGGGTCAAGTAAGGGGGGCGGGGTGTAGGACCCCTGTTGGGGGGTCAAGTGAAGGGGGCGGGGTGTAGGACCCCTGTTGGGGGGTCAAGTGAGGGGGGGCGGGGTGTAGGACCCCTGTTGGGGGTCAGGTGAAGGGGGCGGGGTGTAGGACCCCTGTTGGGGGGTCAGGTGAAGGGGCCGGGGTGTAGGACCCCTGTTGGGGGTCAAGTGAGGGGGGGCGGGGTGTAGGACCCCCTGTTGGGGGGTCAAGTGAGGGGGGGCGGGGTGTAGGACCCCTGTTGGGGGGGTCAAGTGAGGGGGCGGGGTGTAGGACCCCCTGTTGGGGGGTCAAGTGAGGGGGCCGGGGTGTAGGACCCCTGTTGGGGGGTCAAGTGAGGGGGCGGGGTGTAGGACCCCTGTTGGGGGTTAAGTGAAGGGGCCGGGGTGTAGGACCCCCTGTTGGGGGGTCAAGTGAGGGGGGGCGGGGTGTAGGACCCCTGTTGGGGGGTCAGGTGAAGGGGGCGGGGTGTAGGACCCCTGTTGGGGGTCAGGTGAAGGGGCCGGGGTGTAGGACCCCTGTTGGGGGGTCAAGTGAGGGGGGGGCGGGGTTTAGGACCCCCTGTTGGGGGGTCAAGTGAGGGGGGGCGGGGTGTAGGACCTCTGTTGGGGGGTCAAGTGAAGGGGGCGGGGTGTAGGACCCCCTGTTGGGGGGTCAAGTGAGGGGGCCGGGGTGTAGGACCCCTGTTGGGGGGTCAAGTGAGGGGGGCGGGGTGTAGGACCCCTGTTGGGGGTTAAGTGAAGGGGCCGGGGTGTAGGACCCCCTGTTGGGGGGTCAAGTGAGGGGGGGCGGGGTGTAGGACCCCTGTTGGGGGTCAAGTGAGGGGGGCCGGGGTGTAGGACCTCTGTTGGGGGGTCAAGTGAGGGGGGCGGGGTGTAGGACCCCTGTTGGGGGGTCAAGTGAGGGGGGCGGGGTGTAGGACCCCCTGTTAGGGGTCAGTCTCACCGTGGTTGGGAGCGAGGATAGTTTGGTAACACGTTCGAGGTCAGTGAGAAACACATCGGATTTGGCCCTGTTAGGGTCCAATGCGTCGCTGGCGGTCGTGTTGACATCTTGTGTTGTATAGGTCAAGCTAGTGGCCACTTCCTCTCGCCTCGTGAGGAGGAGACAGGTTCGAACCCTGGGGGTAGTCGGCCCCGCGGGAACCGTTCACTGTCCACTGTGTAACCAGCCTTCAGACCCTTCTTGAGGTTATCTTGAGATGATTTCGGGGCTTTTTAGTGTCCCCGCGGCCCGGTCTTCGACCAGGCCTCCACCCCCCAGGAAGCAGCCCGT